TAATATCTCTAAAAGTAAGAATCAGATTTAAAAGTTGTTTTACACGAATAATGTCAGAAAGATGTGTAACATTTTAAAGTTGGAATGAGGTGTCTGAGTGAAAGTATGAATGAACAGTTAGCAGTTGAATTGCATGAAGATTTTTTGAAGTCTGAAGATTTTCTCCATTGACTTCAATGTTAAAAATGTGATGTATTATGGGATGTATCTCTGGAAATATGAAAGTTATGAATGAGAAAACTAAGAGCCATCGATTCCCGACCGAGCTGAACGTTTTGATGTTTGAACGGAGTTTCTGCGATGTTCAATGCGGGAGGAGAAGAGGGCCAACATACCGGCGGAATAATAAACTTTTCGTGCGTAGAATAACAAAGTCTGTAAATATGAGAAAAGATTAAAAAAAGACGTGAAAAAATGTGTGGAAAATGTGCTATAAATATGTGAATAAACCTCTGAAATATAATAAAAACATGTCTGAAATATGGGAGATTTTTTGGGGGAAATATGTAATAAAATGTCTGAATAATATGTGCAAAATGTAAAAGTATAATAATATAAATAAACTATGGAAAGTATGTAAAATATCTGAAATATAGGTCAAATAGTAGATCGAAAATATGTACAAATTGTCAAAATATATGTAAAGAAATGCAGAATAAATGATCAATGCATTTTGAAAGTGTGTTAAAGGAGTAGCAGGAGGCTTATTAAAGGCCAACACGCTTCACATGAGACTCAGTACAGTCTGTCGGGGACAGTAGATGTTTGAAGGATAATGAAACTCGTACCCTGGTCTTCTTGTACATCTTGTTCTTGAGGTAGCTGAACGTCCGGCTGACTTTCGTCGTACTCTTTCCATCAGCGTCGCTGCGCAGAGGGCCAGGCTCCTCCTCTGATATACTGCAACACACACAGACACACACACACTTAATATGTATCCTCTAACAGCTGCATTCATACCTGTTCACACATTCCTGAAGCAGCTCTTTACAGCACAATAAAGGTCCTGTAGAGAACCACAGCCACACAGTGCCTTTATAGGACTATAAAAGGTGCAGCTGTGTGTGTGTGTGTGTGTGTGTGTGTGTGTGTGTGTGTGTGTGTGTGTGTGTGTTGGACCGACCTGTATGCTAGTGACCCAGAGGCGCTGGAAAACGACCTCATACCTAGAGAGAAATGAGAGAGGAAGCCAGCGGTAAAGATTCATTAAAAAACCATAAAAAAAACAAAAACTGGAGAGAAGTTTTTTTATTTACTGTGTTTTTGGAAGTTCTCCCTCTCCCCTCTCTTTAAGGTGAGTACAATCTCAGCTTGAGGTCGACCACACTTACCACCAGGTTATTCTCTATTTACCTGAACTTTGAGTAAGTTAGACTTATACGTGAGACGTTAAAAAATACCTTGAATACCAGATTAAAATGTAATTAATGCTAGGGCAAAAAGTGCAATTCAAATATATGATGTCAATATAAATATTCACTTAATCCTACAATCAAAGAGCTCTATGGATTTACAGCTACTCATCTGGAAGAAGGTCTCAAACATATGTAAAACATTTCCAAATATGTGGAAATAAAATGGAAAGTTACATAGAAAGTGTCTTGAAAATAATTGAACATTTAATAAAATAATTAATAATTGAACATTTAATAAAATGTCTAAAAGTGACTGGGGAAATGTCTGGAAATAAATAACAAATATCCTAAAATGATGTGAAAGAATTAAAAAAGTGATGTAAAAATAGGAATACACAAAAAAATATACAAAAAAAAGTGTATAAAAGTAAAATATGTGAGTTTTTGGCTGTAAGAATTGGGCTGAATGCGTAATGCACGCCATCCTGTCCTTCAACAGCTACCTGTAGCGTCCAGGTGTTAGCATTAGCTCCTCTCACTGTGTGTGTGTGTGTGTGTGTGTGTGTGTGTGTGTGTGTGTGTGTGTGTGTGTGTGTGTGAGCCAATAACAGAACGGCTCTCACTGTGTTTGAGCCAATAACAGAGCGGCTCTGGATGGACCCTCACTGAGGCCAGGAGCCGGAGCTCAAAGTGTTCAAAGTGTTTCCTTTGATCCGGTGCCGGGACACTAATGGCTGCTGGAAACCGGCTCCAACAAATATCTGACTGCAACACATCGAACGTCGTGAACTCTCAAAACACACTTTTCCTTTTCATGCAGTATTTTAAGGTCAGATTTCCTGCCAAACTGTTGCTATCTGTTACTTAATCTCTGACCTAGTTGTGTTTCTTTCTGATTTCACATCAAGGCAAACACTGCAGGCTTCGCCCAGAAATCACCACACATTCTTTGAATCCGTTAAACGTAGCTATACACCTTCCTAGACGGTCGTTTCTCTCTCCTCTGACCTGCTCTGCACCAGAGAAGCAAATCTTAAACAGGACGATGAGGGAAAAGTGTTTCTACTGGGGCAACGAGAAAGAACTGACCACATTTGAAGTCAATCTGATGAAAACTGTAGGAGTTTGTTCAATGTGAAAAGTGCAGAAATTGGCCAAAAGTTGTACAACAAATAAAAAATGTCCGTCTCCCTGTTGAGTTTACGGTATGACTCCAAGAGGCTTTTCTGTGCATCTCACCGTGCTACATATACCGACCAAATATCAAATGTATAGGTAGAACCTGAACGAGGGGCTGCCTTTTGGCAACTTATTACGGGGCAAGTTTTTTAGCGAGAGTCCGAGAACGCGACCACGAACAAATAACATGTAAAAGTGTAACGTTTAAAAGGCAAGGCCTTCCAAAAATGTGATTTACTTCCAGGAGAACTAAATAATGAAAACCAAAGCGATCATAATAGGTCCTCCGTTCTTTTCTGGCCCTAACGATAATATAAATATCTCACGTGTTTCTTGTTCTGCTTCTTGAGAAAAGATATGGTTACAGGGCTGACATGATACGACATTATTTCATACATAAAACAATTATAACTCCACAAATCAGATAAAGAAAGAAAAACAGGAAATTAAAACAAAACAACATCATCTAGGATACAGTCAACAGATAACAAATGCAGAAATCATTCTCATGAGAGCATGGATGGTCATATCTAACCAGAAGCTCACTAGCATGGTCTTAGGTTGTATATCCTATACCCAATGGTCCCATCTTTGTCAAAGATATGAACTTGATTCCTAATGTTTTGGGTCCTTCATTGGGTTAGGATAGGAAACTAGTGACGCTCTAACACCACAGCTATTCTCTAGTGTTGCTATGACTACAGATCATCACTTACTCAGGTTGTCCTCATCATCACTAGATGAAGATTCCCCGTAAAGGAACTGAGACTTAGATTTGATGAGGGGGGTGAAGTTGAAAGAGAAAGAAATTCTCCTCTTACGCCTCAGATGTCCCACAGCTGGGGGGGGGG